CCATTTAACCAACATTGTCCGGAGCAAGTTGGCATCTCTGTACTAATACTAAATGAAGCATCTAATTCGAAATATAAATAATATTAAGGTTTGGAACGTTACAAACTAGGATGAGTTGAAATGTTTTAAATCTGTTAGTGATAGTGTAGTAGAGTTGACAGCCGTTATCTTAAACAAGGAAAAATTTAATAGCACTAATTTGATATCTTCTGCCGCCTCTGTGAGCCAGAAATCTTTTAAAATAAAATGGCAACACACCATTTAACCAACATTGTCCGGAGCAAGTTGGCATCTCTGTACTAATACTAAATGAAGCATCTAATTCGAAATATAAATAATATTAAGGTTTGGAACGTTACAAACTAGGATGAGTTGAAATGTTTTAAATCTGTTAGTGATAGTGTAGTAGAGTTGACAGCCGTTATCTTAAACAAGGAAAAATTTAATAGCACTAATTTGATATCTTCTGCCGCCTCTGTGAGCCAGAAATCTTTTAAAATAAAATGGCAACACACCATTTAACCAACATTGTCCGGAGCAAGTTGGCATCTCTGTACTAATACTAAATGAAGCATCTAATTCGAAATATAAATAATATTAAGGTTTGGAACGTTACAAACTAGGATGAGTTGAAATGTTTTAAATCTGTTAGTGATAGTGTAGTAGAGTTGACAGCCGTTATCTTAAACAAGGAAAAATTTAATAGCACTAATTTGATATCTTCTGCCGCCTCTGTGAGCCAGAAATCTTTTAAAATAAAATGGCAACACACCATTTAACCAACATTGTCCGGAGCAAGTTGGCATCTCTGTACTAATACTAAATGAAGCATCTAATTCGAAATATAAATAATATTAAGGTTTGGAACGTTACAAACTAGGATGAGTTGAAATGTTTTAAATCTGTTAGTGATAGTGTAGTAGAGTTGACAACCGTTATCTTAAACAAGGAAAAATTTAATAGCACTAATTTGATATCTTCTGCCGCCTCTGTGAGCCAGAAATCTTTTAAAATAAAATGGCAACACACACAAAAAAAAGCTTTTTTTTTAACCAAATTATTTTTTGAATATTTTACATTTTGCATTTTTAATTATATAACATTTAACAAATAATTCAGAGATCTCATAACTAAAACCATTGGATATGGAATGCTGAATAGAAGAGTTAAATAAAAACTTGTAAAATTTGACGGTCGATTAATGCTCAAATTTCAACATTTTTATCAAAAAATAAGAGTGCGGATACTTCCTTAATTGTCCTGTATTTAACCACCAAGTTTTAAATGAATATCTGTAAAGGTTTCTTTCGTAACTACCACTATAAATATTAAATATCAATCTGGTATTATATAAAACAAGTCAGATTATAAAATTCGTTTGGTGCCGTTTAATCGAATCTATTATATGATTCCTTTCGAAGGCTAGAAGCAGTTTATATGTCTTATACACTCGTGCAGTGATTCTTAACCTTTTTTTTGTTGCGGCACACTTTTAACGATTTCGAAATTTGACGGCACACAATGAAAAAAATTAGATTAAAAGTTTTTTAATTAGATTGTGATAATAATTTTGAATGTGAAATAAAATAATATGTACTACAAAAGCAAATTTATTAACCCTTTCGCGCCGACTGTCACAAATACGTGCCAGCATAAAACCGTTTCAATCAGGGTAAAAAGATAAAACTGGTAATCAAAATATTTCTTTAGCAGTTTATTTGTGGGCGGAGTTATAATTGTTTGATTTACTTAATTCACCATTACTTTGTTCAAAATAAAACTATTTAGTTATACTTTGAATTAACATTGATTATATATATGATTAAACTAACAATAATTAAAGTAAAAGAAAAGTAAGTCTGTCAAATTAGCAACGACTGCATTTAAGTTACCGTTTTTTATTTAATTACAACTTGATTCTGATTTTGTACGAATGCTTTTCTAAATCACCCGTCCCCAAGGGGTTAAGGGATTAATTATTTCTTTCGACCCATTTATTATTAGTTAGTAACAGATATTTATTTTTTAGCTAGTTATTAATTGTTAGCTTGTTTTCTATAGTTATTTCCACCTAGATAATAATTGTCAAAATCATTGCCTTATTCTCAGTTTTTGAAAATTTTTATGAACCCCTTATAATGCAGTATTGGAGCGTGTTTTTAAAAGTTAAAAATTTCGATCACTAACGCTTTTCATTTCCACAAAACTGTAGTTTTTCTCCAAATTGAAGTTTTGCTCCATTTCAGAATAAGCATACAGAGTGCTGACTTTAGATACGCTAAGCTTGTCCTAACAATACCGAGTTATTGTTGCAAACTTGAAAATAGCATATTATTCGCAAAAAAACTTCATTTCATATGACGACGAAACCTTCAAAAAACAACTTTTTTAAAGCTATCAATTTTCTTCCCACATTACTCAATAGCTATGTCCCGTTTGCAAATGTTATTTTTGATATATTCTCTTAAAATTAAGTTAATTTTTGTGAGTGCCTTTCCTTTAATTTTGACAAAATAAACATTCATTCAATAGATTTTCTTTCCTTTCCACATTCCAATTACAAATGGTTGAACTTTCGCTTTTAATTTTAATATTTTGAATAGTAGAATATCTTTTCTTATTCAAACTCACCTGCTTCACTGCCGCCTGTAAAAATAAGGAACTTAAATTTTATATATATCAAAAAATAAACAAACTTTTCGGTATACATTAATATAATAGTTTAGATCTAGGCCTTATCATGATCTACGGCGGAATGATCAAGTCTTGGTAACTTCCTGGCAGTGGCCAGCGAGAAACTAAAGAAAAAAAGCATCACAGAAAGAGACCAACTCGAGAGGTATAACTCGAAGCCACCCCCGGGCAAACATCTACATGTTTTTTTTTTTAATTGTGAGTTTAATATCTATTTCGTTCCTTGGCGATTGAAGTTGGCGCTACAGATTACGATACGGATCTAATGCGTCTTAATCTATGCGTCGTTAAAAACTCCTCTGCCCGCTTTTATATTTTGAATTGTGGAAGATCAAATTCAATCACAAAGTTAAGAAGCCTGAATATTTTTATTTTGGTTATAATATTTTTATTATGGTATAGCTTATTTTCATATTGTCCTTATGGTTTCGTTTCATTATGCCTGGGTGCAAAAATACTCAAATCTAAACCTAGGACCGTTGATTTAAATCATGATTTGAACCGGGTGAATTTTAAAAATAAAATATTTGATTTAAATGGAATGAGTTTTTGCTTAATTATCGATTACGCAATTCAAATTTACAAAGCATTTTAAAATAACACTTTTAAAATCATTGAAAGTTATAAATAAAAATTTTACTTTTGAGTGATTTTTCAGAGTTTTGAAAGTTATTGTTGTGTTAATTGCTGTGCTACTAAATTTCAATTAGCGAAATTACATAAGTATTACAATGTAATAAAATACAGCATTTGTTAAATGTCATTTTAATACTCTGAACTTTCTTTTGAATATTTCAGAAGGTAAAATAAATAAAAAATGTAACGTAGTTTTTTTTATATAAATATTTATTTATCTTTAAAATTAAGTTATAGATTATCTTGCAAGAAACATGAATCCTACCAAATCCTAATTTTAAGACAAATACTCAAAACCATGTTTTATTTTAATATTTCAATTATAATATATAGAAGTACTCGCCATATAAAAAGGTAGTTATCATGTTATAGCATAAAAAGGTAATCAACATGATATAGCAAAAGGTAGTATCATGTATAGATAAAGGTAGTTATCATTATATAACTGTTCAAAAATATACAGGTTTGGATAAATTATCGAGACACTTCTAAATTAACTCTATGTAAACAAACTTTCTGTTAACAGCAAAAGTTTTGGAAGATTTGGCACGGCAAATCTGGCACAGTTTAAAAGATCATCATCTCTGATTCTGAAGATTTGAAATAAAAAAGATTTGAATTTGAAATAAATATTTTGTATATTCTAATGGATTCGTGGAGCTGGACCAACGCCTCCTGTAACTGAAAGCCTCCACACCATACCTGCCAACTCTTCCGGAAGATTTTATTTTCATATTTAAAGTGGTGGTAAAACTCAGGTTATTCCAATTAACTTTTTGAATTATAATGATAATTATAAATGAGTGATAATTATAAATGAGTTTGACCACCACTACATAGAAATAATTATAATCAATATATCAAAGCATGATTATTCTTGCGCACGCGAATTTCAACGGGATCAAAATATAAATATATTTTTGAGTCAGATTGTCTTTCGTTTATTGTTTTACAACCACTCTGAAAATCCCTTCTTGGAAAGAGTGAAAGTTGGCAGGTATGGAGGTATGCCACACGGTTTTTTATAGGTAGTCCGATCAGACCACTGTGAAGGATATCCACTTTCCGAACGAGTCATTTAATACAAAATTTAGTTAAAATAAGAAAGAGGTAGTAAATATATGACTAAAAATTTGTTTTATTTATTAATATTATTGGTTTGCCTTATTCACTTGTCAACCACTACAGATTCAATTCCTAAATATATATGATAAATCTCTCTCAATTACTTTTATAAAAGGTTTTGGGTTCATGCACTTTTTAAATAGTCTGTGCGGACTACTTATAAAAGACCGTGTGGAGGCTTTTTCATGTAGGAGGTGATGGCTGGACTGTCAGGATAACGACCAGTCAGGATAAGCAACAACAGATCATATTTAAAAGCTTTTAGAAATTGTCTTTTTTTCTCTTTGCAAAACTCAAATCGACCAAAATGTGACGTGTTAGTAACTTTCTACTAACTTCAATACCACAAAATTTTTAATTGTTTTATACGAATGCCATTTTCATACAAAAAATACTTTTTAACTATAGTAGTATTGAACAAAGAAAAAAAAGCTTTAAAAAATGCTACTCTGATTTCGGTCAATTCGAGCTTTGCATGAGTAAAAAAGACACCATTTCTAAGAGATTTAAGCATGATATTTTAAATTTAGCTAACAGTTTTGCCACGCAAAATCTTGTAAAACTTTTGTTGCTAAAAGAAAGATTGTTTCCATAGAGTTAGATCAGAAGTGTTTCTATAATTTTTACGCATTGTCTTGTAGTGCATTTTTTGATTAAAGGATTAGTTATTCCATAAAGAAAGATTTGAAAACTTGCTGTTAAGTTAAGGTATACACCCCTTATATTGTGGTTTTATAAAATTTTAAAAAAAATTATATCAAGCATTTGCTTGCATCATACGTAGCTATGAAACAATTTTAATGCAATGATGCAATTTAAAATGTATTGTTACTATTTATTTTTAAAAATATTTCAACAATAATAATTTTGATAAAGTTGATTTAAACATAAATTTAAGTTTGTAAAGTATCTTTGAAAAATAAAAAAACGTCTTATTTAAAACAAATTATTTGGATTATTTAAAAAATAAAATCAGATGATGAACTCTGATCTAAATTATCATCAGTAAACTGAACTAGAATTTATAAACACAGATTTCAATTAATATAAACCAAAATAATTTTCACTTAAACATTATCTTACCTGGGAATCCCAAAATTTCTTGAACTGTAAAAATTAAAATAATTTTTAACTACAGTATTAATTAAGAAAAATCAATTTTTCCCTCTTGTTAGTCAATTTCAACTTTATAATTTTTATTTAAATAAAGTCTTTATCTTTAAATAAACTGAAATTTTCCGTTATGAAATGATACCTACAATTACTTGTTGGGCAATTAGAACCTCATAATTTGTATTCAGATAAGCTTTTTATCTGTAAATAAACTGAAAATTTTCATGATGGAAAAAAGCTTACAGTATCTTTGTTAGTCAGTTATAACTTGTAAGTTATAACTTCATACAGTATCTATGTTGTCAGTTATAGCTTGTGTTTACACTAACTTTATACTGCGCCACCTAGCTTTACATAGTTTTAAATAAATTTAAAATTTGTATATATTTATATACGAAATTCACAAGTATTAAAAATTTGTAAAATTAAAACTATTTTTTTAACTTTTATTAAAAATTAAACTATAAAAAATTATAAATTATCTTAAAATAATTATATTTTGCATGAAGTTAGCATAAAAGGTTTCCACAATTATGAAAAAAATTGATTTATAAATCACTTAAATAATTTCAGGGAAATAGTGAAATATCCAATATAACCTATATCCAAGAAGTTCAAATTTTCCATCGCAATTCTGCCTAAACTGTTGAGACCATATATTTTTAGATTGTGGTCACTCTTTTCTTATTTTGAGGATCTAAAATCCGTATACCTAACCGTAAAAATGGTATTCCTTCAGCGATAAAACATTTTTTTGACTGATCTCATAACTTGAGATGTCATCCGCATTAATTAATTAGTATACTATTGTTAGATCTTCAAATTATTAAATTGTACTTAAGGCTTATATGATTAGATCAAGAGTTATTAGGTGACACTCTTTTTTTTATTTTTCCAAACCTGCACGAAACTTCTTAAACTGGTGTAATGAAATTAAGAAAAGAAAAATAATATTTAGAGTTGGGCAGGAAATGTATTTATTTATAATTAAGTGAGAACAATGTTTAAATCAAAAAATAATATATTAAAACCAAAACTCGTCTTGATTACACCGGAATAGGATATAGAAAATTTATTATTGACGAAAATAGAATGAGATATTAGAAACAAAATATCCACTGCATACCAAAATCTAAATATTTAATGAATATAATACACCGGAATTCCAACGAAAAAAATCGATCGACATTATTGACGATATTTGAAAGAAATGCTAAAACCTAAATGCGATTTATAATGGAAATTAAAAATTTTATGAATGAAATGCACCGGAATAGGATATATAAAATTAATTATTGAGAAAATTATAATGATATTCTAGAACTTAAATAAAATTTATACCGAAATTCAAACATTTAATGAAGAGAATACTCCCGAATCGAATATGACAATATCAATCGACATTATTGACGAAATTAGAATGAAGCACTAGAACCTAAATGCGGCTAATACATGGAAATTAAAAAATTTCATGAATGAAATGCCCCGGAATAGGACATATAAAATTAATTATTGACGAAATTGGAATAAATTATTAGTGAATGCAATACACCGGAATGGAATATAACAAAATGAATCGTGATTATTGACGAAATTAGAATGAAATGCTAGAACCTAAATGGCTGTTTATAGTATTTTGAAATATGCTCAGATGGATAATAAGACCGAAATGCTTCAGTGAAATTTTTGGTTGAGTAATTATATTATGCCGCGAAGCCAGGTCAAGCTTTCGAAATTCAAATGAATGCACATTCACCCTACAGTGCAGATCTTTCTCCGTGTAACTTAAATACCTTCTATGAGCTTATTAAGTCACACTGGATTCTGGTGACATAATTTTCAAACGGAAGACTTATTTACTGAGTATACCTTACAACAATAATAGAAAAGTATAAAAATTAATAATATAAAAATTTTATATTTACTTTTTTTCAATTTTTCTGTAAAAGAAAACGAAAACGTGAGTATTATGCGCAGACTATAATAAATATTACTAACATTCTCAAACTAAAACATGTTTTCCTCAATGTTTTTCAATTCGCTTTATAAATAGGGTAAAATCTTATTTTTAACTTATTCGTACAGATGCATTTTTTGTATGGATCACAAAAGTGCTTTGGATGAAAAACATGATGATTAATACATTAATCTGCAAACTACAACGCTTTTTTCAAAATATATTGATAGAATAGTTGATGCTTAAAAATTAAACGATTTCAGAATTTTCGTTGCTTTTGCCAACCTTACCACCAGATAACTGTAACGAAGTAGCGTTTTATATGAATTAATAACCACTGCATACCTGCCAACTTTTACGCATTTGGCGAGAAATTTAATTTTTATATTTAAAACTGTAGTAAAATATGTGCTTTCTAAATATTCCTTATATTTATAAACTTAATTTATAATCCTTTTGACCACCATTTCTAAAAAAATTAATCATATAAACTAATATCTAATATTAACGTGTTAGTTGGAAAAGCATTTCCCAAATGAAGATTATGTTTCTGCCTAAAATTTTAATTCAAATTCTATTTCTCTACGGATAATCATCCTCGAACGGATTAAAAACTGGCAGGTATGACACAGACATCTAGTGATGTAGAAGATGAAAATTAAGGTCAGACAGAACATTGGCAAATGCTACCTTATAAGACAATTATTTCTTAGTGGCCTACTATAGCTCTCTTTTTTTAAAGAATAGTGGTTGCTTAACGTTTAAAAGCAATTTGTTTTGCATTTCTAGTGGTTTGTAACTTTTATTTTGAAAATAATTAGAAGCCCGCCATAAAGTAACTGAATTCAAGTGGAACTTTAATGTTTTCATAATTTGTAGGTAGTGGTGGACAAAATCACTTTTAACAAGATTTTTCAAAGCTCTTTTGCAAAAAAAAATAAAAATGCCACAGTTTAAGTGCCTTTCACATGTAGCATAGCTATAATTTTAAACTGCATCTGCCGTACTGCTGTGAAGAATTAGCTGGACTTTAGAACTGAAAAATAACTAAAATATTTTTTTAAATTATTTAACTTTTTTTAAAAAAATTACCCACTTCGCAATATTTTTCGACCCTGATGAAAATTATCAAAATCAATGCCTTGTTTCCATTTTTAGTTAAGTTTTTTGAACAGTTATGATATTATTTCTTTTTCATATTTGACAAAAAAAGCGGATTTTAATTAATTATTTTTAAAAACGGAAAGTAAATTATTTTTCAAATGTTAATTATTGTCACTGTCTAAGTTTGTATAATAAATGCTATCACATAATTAAACATACTTACCGCTTAGCATGTTAGAGACTGAAATGAAAGAATAAACAAATTTATTCATTTGCAAATTTATAAATTTTATTTAGCTCATATTTAATTTCGTTTTATTTTATACAAATCGGAAGGTAAATATGAAATGTCGGAAAGTGTTTTGTTTTCGCTTGAATATAGTTGTTTTAAATATAGCAGAGCTATTGTATGTCACGTATGTGCCTGTCTACAGTCATCATGTAATCAATACATTAATGGAAGACAAGAGAATCAAATTTAGAAACGTCAGCTTAAGAAGAAAAAAAACTTCTTTAGAATGGAAATGTGAAAAAAATGGATGTTTTGCCAACTTCAATGTGCATATTCAGATTCAACGCTTAAATAATTGTTGTACAAAAATATTTATTCAATTTTCAAATAATTAAAAAAAAACTGTACTAACTTTTAAAAACAGTTTTGGTGCATATTGGTTCAAAATAATTTGATCCCTAAGAAAAAATTCATGTGTTAAGGGAAAAACAGACCCGTGGTGTTTTTTGTAACTCTTGATAACGATTTTCTGTCTATATTGAAAATTATTTTTTAAAAGTATACGGTCGTAAATTGAGAATACTATGACTTACTTTTCACTTTAATTTTCCATGGTGTAAATTCCCAGCAAATATTCTTTTTCGGGCGAGGTTACACTTATTTTTAAAAATGTCGAATACGCCTTGTATTCTTAAGGAATAAATAACACACTGATTGATCGAATGACTATTTATTGATTTTACACCAATATTCGAACAAATAATTGTATTTTTCGCGTATTGGAATAAATAATTGTACTTTATGTATTTGTATATAGACTTTCTTAATATACGAGTACATGATTTGTTCTCATTGGTGTTCCTTGTACATTGACTCGTACTTGATTTCATTAGTTACAACACAAAAACAAGGTGGTTTTATTTCAGTCGAATAAGCCCTATATTCTTAAGGAATAAATAGCACACTAATTGATCGATCGACTATATTTTAATTTTACACCAATATTAGAACAAATAATTGTATGTTTCGTGTATTTGAACAAATAATTGTATTTTATGTATTTGTATATAGACCTTCTTAATATACATGATTTGTTCTCATCTGTGTTCTTTATGCATTGATTCGTACCTGATCTCATTTGTCACAATGTTAAATAAAGGTGGTTTTATTTCAGTCAAATACAGTAAAAGTATGTTAATTTAGATAAATCAAAATGTTATTCATATGTTTATTATGTAAATTAGAATGTAATTCTTTTCTTATATACTTAAGGAAGGAATAACAAACTAATTAATCGGACGACTGTTTTTTTTTACTATAACATAGGAACAAATAATTGTATTTTTCGCCAGTTTTACCATAAACATTGCAATGTCAGATATAAATTAATTAAAATTATTATTATGTCTTAAAGTCTATTCCCTTTTTATAAAATCTATAGGGAAAACAAAATTTATCAACAATAATTTCGAATAAAGTTAAAATCTTTTAAGACAAAAGTAATTCTTGAGCAATTTATGGTCAGTTCTTTCAACATTACAGTTTTAAATTATGTTTAAGAGTTTTAAGTTGATTTATTATGTTTCAGTAAGAAATTTATTTACTACTTAAAATGAAATAACTAACTTAAATTTTAGATTTTAATATTTCGCATGTCATTAAATGTTTTCAGATCATTCATTGTATTCAGATCAATCGTAAACGGATGTTTTTTTTTCCGAGTCATTTTGTCCTTTTCAGTGAAGTAAAACAAGGATATCTAAATAACAATCAACATTTCTAAACGAAATATTTCATAAAGAATATAAAATAAAACTTATTTTTTTATCTAATAATTCAAGGATTTATTTGATTTCATTATTCAAAGATGTCTAAACAACAGTCTGTATTTGAAAATGAACTTTTTTTGTCATGAAATTAAATTTAAAAAAGAATTATTTTCATGCATACTATTCAAGAATGTCAGAAAAACAGTTTACTTTTTTGTCAAAAAATTAAATTTAAAAAAGAATTATTTTCAACCTTACTATTCAAGAATGTCAGAATAACAGTTTACTTTTTTTGTCAAGAAATTAAACTTAAAACAGAATTATTTTCAACCTTACTATTCAAGAATGTCAGAATAACAGTTTACTTTTTTGTCAAGAAATTAAATTTAAAAAAGAATTATTTTCAAGCATACTATTCAAGACTGTCAGAATAACAGTTTACTTTTTTTTGTCAAGAAATTAAATCTAAAAATAATTATTTTCCACCTTACTATTCAAGAATGTCAGAATAACAGTTTACTTTTATTGTCAAGAAATTAAATTTAAAAAATAATTATTTTCAACCTTACTATTCAAGAATGTCAGAGTAACAGATTACTTTTTTGTCAAGAAATTAAATTTAAAAAAGAATTATTTTCAACCTTACTATTCAAGAATGTCAGAATAACAGTTTACTTTTTTTGTCAAGAAATTAAATTTCAAAAAGAATTATTTTCAACCTTACTAATCAGGAATGTCAGAATAACAGTTTACTTTTTTTGTCAAGAAGTCAAATTTAAAAAAAGAATCGTCGAGATTCGAGCATCCGGGGAAGTCGAGATTCTGAATTGAAATAATTCCTTTCAGATATTTTATTCAATGATATCTAAACAACAGTCAATATTTGAAAACGAACGCATGTCAAGAATTAAAATAAAACCATTTAAAGTCATTTTATTCAAGGATGTCTAAATAACGTTATTCAAAAATCTCTAAATAACAAAGTGTCTTTGAAAGCGAAGGCATTTTGTGTCAGAAGTTTAAATTAAATCGCTTCTTTTTAATCATATTAAAGAATATCAAAACAGCAGTCTATGTCTGAAAACTGATACATTGTGTCATGAAGATAGATTAAAAACAATTTTCTCTAAATATATTTTAATATGCACTTACTTGTTTCTCCAGTTCCTACAAAAATAAATTTTTGCTTAATAATATTGTAGTAAAATATATAAATCCACAAAAAAGATATTCTTCATTTGTTTAAAATTCAAACATTAATAAAATATTTATAATAAACTTTCAATTTATGAGAATTATGGAATTTCAGTCTATGACGAGTGTTGCTATCTGTTAAAAGTTAAAAGCATTTTCTTTTTCTTAGTATTTAGTTCAAACTACCATTCCAAGAATTAAAAAGATATTTTTTGCACACTTTCATCCCTTTTCCTCCTTTAAATTTTCTCGGTAAAAAATTAATTTTCGAATTTTAATTTAATTTTTATTAAATTGTCTCTATGTGCATGCATAAAAGTTTTAAATTATGAAAATTTGAAAGCATTTTATACTCTATTTAAATAAAATTTTAAAAAATCGTCTAAAAATATATCGCAAAAAGCGTATATTAACAAATCAAAGTTTACAACAGATTTTTTTAAGCAGATTCTATTGTGTTGAGCTACAATTGAGATCTTGATCGAGTTAAGCGCAATCTATGATGTTTTTCTTTTCCTTTTCATTTTTCAAAAGTAGTAATAGTCAGTTTTTTTATCCCCTATTTAAGAATTTGTGTATTACGTTTCGAGAAATAAAATTTTAGAGCTCATGTTTCATTTTTTGGCAGTTGTGACGCTATATTATGCTTATAAGAACTTATGTAGTATTAAAAAATATTGTATTCCTCATTAAACAACTTCGTTGATCAATTTTTATTAAATTGTCTCTATATGCATGCTTAAAAGTTTTAATTTATGAAAATTTGAAAACATTTTATACTCTATTTAAATAAAATTTTTAAAAATCGTCTAAAAATATATCGCAAAAATCGTACATTAACAAATCAAAGTTTACAACAGATTTTTTTAAGCAGATTCTATTGTGTTGAGCTACAATTGAGATCTTGATCGAGTTAAGCGCAATCTATGATGTTTTTCTTTTCCTTTTCATTTTTCAAAAGTAGTAATAGTCAGTTTTTTTATTCCCTATTTAAGAATTTGTGTATTACGTTTTGAGAAATAAAATTTTAGAACTCATGTTTCATTTTTTGCTTATAAGAACTTATATAGTATTAAAAAATATTGCATTCCTCATTAAACAACTTTGTTTATCATTGTTAAATAAATAATTTTGAACTTATCTTTTGCATGAAAATAATAGCAGGTTTTGTGAATAGTAATAATTTTTTCATACAATTAGCTCTTAAGAGTTATGAGCTTCGGCACTAAATTGCAAATCTTTAAAACCAAGTAAAAAAAATCCTAATTTTAAATTAAAGTTATTCAAGGAAAAAGTTTGTTTTATTTTCCGTACTGTATTATGAAAAATTTCATAAAATGAGAACTTAGCGGTGTTTATATATTGAAATTTAAATCCAAAATATGATCAATTTAAAAAAAAAAGAAAGCAAGTAAAATCTTACCTGATAAAATCTCTTTCACTGAAATAAAATATATAAAATTTAGTAAAATTTTTATGAAATATCTGACCTAAATAAAATTAAACATTGTTTCTTTTATTTCTATACAACTGAAATCAAAAGACTCTGCATAGACAATCTTTCTTTGAGCAGCAAATGTTTTGGAAGATTTCATATAGCAAAACTGATGGCACAATTCAGAAGATCGTACTTAACCCTTTCGCGCCGACTGTCACAAATACGTGCCAGCATAAAACCGTATCAACCAGGGTTAAAAGATAAAACTGGTAATCAAAGTAATTCTTTAGCAGTTAATTTGTGGGGGGAGTTATAATTGTTTGATTTATTTAATTCACCATTACTTTGTTCAAAATAAAATTATTTAGTTATACTTTGAATTAACGTTGATTATATATACAAGTATGATTAAACTAACAATAATTAAAGTAAAAGCAAAGTAAGTCTGTCAAATTAGCAACGACTACACTTAAGTTACCGTTTTTTATTTAATTAGATCCTGATTCTGATTTTGTACGAATGCTTCGCTGAATCACCCGTCCCCAGGGGGTTAAAGCATTTGGAAATTGTGTAATATTTACCCGTGCAAAATTTGCTTCAACCAAAATGGATGTAGGAAGTTAAAAGTCTTTTTTTTTCTACTACTATAATTCTAAAAGCATACTTATATTAATATCACAATCCAATGGAATGATTTCAAAGTTAGTAGCTCAAAGGAAGTTATCAGCTTCCTCCTCACATTTTGGTCGATACAAGTTTTGCATGAGTAAAAAGGATACCATTTCTGAAAGCTTCAAGTTCCATCTTCATTTTTGATATGGAAATTCTTCCGAAACATTTGCTTCTCAAAGAAATGCTGCTTACTTCAAGTTAATATAGAAGTGGTCGCATTATTTTGTCATCCATTTCTAAGATATATAAATTAGGCAATCATGATTTTTAAAGGGTTGACGAAACAGCTTATTCTTTAGAAAATGTTTACTATTCTTAAAATATTAGTTTACTATTTTTCCAAATACTGTACAATTCGGCAGCCGTTGACATCAGAATGCTAAACGATAATAAAATTAAAGCTAAACGACTATAGAAGTGAGTGAAGATGTGCTTAAGTTATATTTCAATTATTTTAGAAATATAATCTTAAAAACATTATGTATCAACAGCTGGAAGCGATATACGCTAATAAAATACTCCTTATATGGACGGAGAATCATATGAAACTGAGCAAAGAGGGCGTAAGCAGTTAGAAGTTTAAACAAGACTTCAGGGTTACTATTTCAATTAATTTTTACGTCTAAACTATACAAATACGCCATCTTAAATTATTGCACTTTTATGTTTACAATATGACATTTGATATTTATCAATCAATTTTCTTAAATCCATTTAACACGAGACATAAAAAACAGAAGATAGCATTTAGACGTGCCAAATTTTACGCTTTATTTATGACGTGATCTAAATTTCCTAAATTGATATGGCTCAGCGGATAGTGTGTTCGCCTTTCAGTGAGATGACCCAAGTTCGAATCTCAGCGATGGCGGGTCGATACGGATTCCGCATCCGGCTTGCACCGACCACAGTGCTTATGTAAAATATCCTCAACTGTAGACGGATCATGTATTAGAGCCCCCTTACAGGGTACAATTACCTTGTTTTCAAGTATTTTAAAATTCTTATATTACAGTCTCTTAGAGAGAGCCTCATACCATGCATGTAGCAACTCTGATCTTTTTACCTTATAATGTTTCGCATCCATTATGTTCTTAATTACTGTCATCTATTGTAACTTTCTTCAAAATTTTGTTTTTCCTATGTATTAGGCAATTGTGCTTGTGATGCAGTGATGTATTATGTGATTGTTTGCCTATGTATTGTACATTGTGCGAGCTAGACCGGTGGCCAGGCGTGGACTATACGGTTAAGGGTTTTGCAAACCTAGGTACGTGTCCACGTCTGGAAGAAAAGAAAAAAAAATCCATTATGGTCTCTCGTATGAAAAATCGACTTCGTTCCACTACTTATAGGACTTGAAATATCCAACCATTTTGTAGAATGAATCGCATAGATTTATTTTGTTGTGGCCTTTTTGATGTAGTTGCAGTTGTAACTCCACCTTTTGACGAACAATCTAATTACTTTCGCTGTAGCTTGTTATACTGGTTGGTTGTTCGAAAAGAGAAAGGAAAAAGGACAAGAAAAAAATTTAACTTATGATTCTGACGCAAGGAGCTACTTACCAAAACAATATATTCCGATTGAAAATTTAGTCAGACCGGACATATGCGCGCTCTTAATCAGTACTTTTCAGAATGAATTGAAAAATAGTTTTAACCGTTAAAGGTTATTAGTTTTACATTTATAGTAGTTTGTCACATTTGTTGAATAAGTGTTTCCTGTGTGGCTACAATACAGTGAAAAGGGTTAATTCTTTTCCATTGTATTTTAAACGCTTACTTATTAGTTCAAAGTTAAAAGTGTGCACATTTGCTTACCTTTATCAACTTTTTCCTCTAAAAAGTAAAAAGACACAAGATTAAAATCTAAATAATTGCTCAATTCATTTTTTTATATCTCCCATTGCTTATAAATATATCATAAAAATATATGGCAGTTATGGGTGGCATGTGTTGGCTACTGCTTTACCAATTTATCGATAACACATGGGAACAATAGTACAATACTGGGCTCCAAACGTTTGCCCATTCTCCCGCCTAAACTATGCGAACCGCATTTTCCAGATTGTGGTTGGCCCTATATTTTTAGGGTCAAGTAGCCAAAGCCATAAAAAAAAGCATGTTTATGAAATTACGTTTTTTTGCGTCTGATTTCGTAACTTAAAATATCGTCAGCACGAATTATTAAACATACTTAAGGTTATTCCTTTGATACATTAAAATTGCATTTTAGTATGAGAAAACAAAATTAAATAGATCAAAAGTACTCAAGATGGTTTCTTTTATTTTTATTTTGGGCACTGCGAGTTAATATTATTAATGAAGGTAAAAGTGGCACGCATTATGGCGTCAGGATTCTGTAGCGAAACATGTCTCCTCACAAATTAAGGTAAGAGGAAAGTACAACATTTAAAGTGAATGTAAAGTCGTACTAAGTTGGGTGCGCCCAGCATAGAACAACGCTAAATATGATATTTTTTGATAGGACTATTTATTGGGAGCCTTATCCAGGACGAATTACAATGAACAAATGATCGAAATGTTTCTCTGAGTAGCATACATAGGGTTCCCATGCGCTTTGAAAATTTTCTTGACCTTCATTTCGAATTCGAGGAGTCTATTCCTAACATATATTTGCCTGACTAATTTTTAAAGTACAATTTTCTGAAGAAATCTGAAATTGTGGAATAAGAATCAGTATTTTAAAAGAAGTAGTAACTAACAGAACCGCTAAGGAAATTTTTTGTTTTTTGCTTGAGATTTTTGTTTTGTCAACGGTAGACATATTGCCTAAGATCGACAAATCTAGACATCTTCGTAAATCCATACTTGTCAACTTATACGTTTTGAAAAGAAGATTCTTAGTGGTAGAGAAAAGCCAAATCAATAGAGATTATAAGCTGATATTTCATTAAAATGTAGCCAACACTTTGAAACATAATGAGAGAATTAACAGGTCTAGCATGTGTATGGTTATATTATCTAAATGTAATGGTTGCCAAAATCCTTTCATTAGCATTTATTCAAACAAGAATAAAATGAGAATAAATGAGTTTCGCATTAAATGTAAAAATAAAATTTTATGTAAAATTTAAAATAGTTGACAAAAACGTATTGTCAACAATTAAAAGTTGGAGAAAACTTGGGCCACAACTTCATAGTTCAAACCATAGCTGCAACTTCAATTTTAAAAAAACAATTAATGGCGACTGATTGTAGTACTGATTACATATATACTGAATCGTTTATGTTCAGGAAAATCATGAATGGATAGTTTTTTTGAAAAACAGAGCAAAAACGGAGTAGTTCTACTAACATTTCTTTAACTTTTCTGTGATCGCAGAAATTTCGGAAACGTACTTTCACGGGACCCCCCTGCAATGTGTTAATCACGCCATTTAGAAGCATTTCAATTTCTGTTTCAGTGCTTGATTCTTGATTAAATAGATGCCATTTAAATTAATTTTGATCAGCACGACCCTTAAATAATTGAAACAGAATATGAGACATTTAAATCATACATTGATTTGCTTATCTGCTATGAAGTTAAAAAATTATTTGTTATTTCACTATCAAGCTTTCCACCAAAAACTTATAAGTTGACCATGGGGTTAACGTACTTTTACACCATTAAACGTACTTTTTAATGTAAACGTACTCTTACGCGACCACCCTGCAATGTGTTAATCACGCCATTTAGAAGCATTTCAATTTCTGTTTCAATGCTTGATTCTTGATTAAATAGATGACATTTGAATTAATTTTGATCAGCACGACCTTTAAATATAACATATAACAAAAAAGTTATAAGTTGTCCATGAGGAAAGATCAGTGGTAAACAATGTGAAATTAACAAACATTTAAAGTTGTAATATAAGCTACACAAACTTTTTTTGCATAAAACTTAAAGTAACTATTTCTCTAACACTTAATACTTACGACCATATGCTTTGACAACTGAAAAAATAATATATTTTATTATAAATGTGTGTGAACAATGAATGAAAAATTAATTTTGTAGCAAACTTTTACCGGTTGAATTGTTTTATACCTAATCTAAATTATTGCAACCACGCAAATTTGAAAATGAAAATCACAGTATTTTATATTTTTATTAAATGCTAGATACTGAACATGACATTACTCGGAAAAAGTCAAGATAAAATAACTAGAAGATGTGTTTAGCTGCTGAACATAACCTTACTCATATAAAATAACTAGAGGTGACTAATTTAGCTGAACTCAGCCCTACTCAGATTTCAAGTCAAGATAAAATAACTAGAAGATGTGTTTAGCTGCTGAACAGAACCTTACTCATATAAAATAACTAGAGGTGACTAATTTAACTGAACTCAGCATTACTCTTAAAAGTCGAGGAAAAATTACTAAAGGATGTGTTTAGCTGCTGAATACGGCATTAACTGCATTTTTGTCTGTTGAACTTACAACACATACCACTTCTTCGCCCTTCAACAAATTTTTTGGCTGAACTGGTACTTAATACGTAACTACAATTTTTGTTCCTCCCAATACTTTTAAATCACTAGATTTCTTAAAAAAAAAAAATTTAAAAAAAAACACATGATTACTCATAACTTAGTCAAAACTACTTCATAAAGTCAAGATTTGTCACAATCACAATCATTATTTTAAAAAATAGTTATTAACAAAGCTAATTTTTTAAAACTTTTTTTAGCTATCTAAACGTCACCATACTTATAAAACACTTTTAGATCTGATTAAAATTGTTCCGTGCAATTAGGACTGGGATAATTAGAGAAACAATGTATTTTTAATGACTTTCAGTTGACTTTACATCAATATATTTTTAAAAACGCGTTTCGAAAAGGTAATAATCAATTAAAAAAACGCGTAGTTCTTCATAGCTCACACAATCCTTACTTCGTAAAGGTCTAGATTTATCACAATCATAATTGTTATTTCCAAGGGAGATACCTAATGGAACCAATATTTAAAAACCAATTTCAGCCTTTCTATGCGTCACCATACTTGCAAATCTCTTTCAGTCCAGATGCAAATTTTATCGTGAAATCAGTACAGGGATAGTTATTAAAACAAACTATTTTTAATAAAAAGCAAATATGTCGTTTAAAATTTAAATTTCTTTTAAATTAATTTCTTTTTAATGATCTAGCAGTAAAAACTGAGAGCTATTCTCATGATTCACAAATCTTACTAGACTACAGTGGATGGACAACATTCATGTGGTGGACGGTCCGTCCACCATAAGAAGATGACTGACCTTAATTTCGGTTAATTTTTTTTAAATTTTTGTTCATTCTGATTGACCTATATCTATGTCTCAAAGAGAGGGTGTCATTATCTTCCTACGTTTTGAATTTCTATGAAACTCCTGATTTAACTAACCAGTCCTTTAATCGTCTTATTAAGGAACAAAAGCAGTTAACCAGTCCACAAATATATTCTCATCTGAATTTCATGATGTTTTATTTTCAAATGAATTAAAAGACATCTTTCCTCACTGCCAAAGTGATATTATGAGGACGACAAAACTTGATAGCACTGTCTCATAGAGGAAAACCCAAATTGATTTGCAAACTCCTTCATGCTCAAGTTGCTTAACACGTTGAATGCCACGCTAATTTTACATGTCTTGCTCGTCTGGCCACACGGTAAATAACTACAAACTAAATTTGCAAATATAGACAGATTTTGCTAGTTTATAAAAGATTTAGCATGACTTATGTGAAAAAAGTGGTGAATTATATATGCCTACGAATTGTTTAAAAATAGTGGTGGATGAAAATCTACTAAATTGAATTTATTACACCAAGAATCACAATAATTAAGTAAATTTTGAATAAATTTTCTGCAATTCTATAAAAGAGTGTAAATTTTATAGTTCTATATCATGTTATACACTGTCAGTCAGCTGTTTTTCGTGGCCCATGTGAAAGGTCAGTGTCAGTAAGCGGTGGCAGACGCAGCCTAAATGTAATTTCAGTCTCAGCCACCGGTGGTTGACGTGGCCTAAATGGAAAGTCCAGTGTCAGCCACCGATGACTGACGCGGTGCTCAACGTGTTAATAATAGAAGCAGCAATGTTTTGGCCGTTAACCTTAACAAAAATGTATACCTAAACGACATTATAATTTGTTATTTACTATTGTTACTGAATTCAGTATTGATGTTTTTGACTAGTAATGGAAAAAATTTGAGAATTAAAGATGAATGTTACTGACTAATAGAAAAATTTTAGAGCATTGAAGCAGTTTTATCAACGCTACTTATAAACTTACTGCTAATTGTAAGAACTGATGATTTTAGCAATTCTTAAAGTAAAAATAAAAGGTAATGAATTAAACGACCTTGTGAACTATTAGTCACTTCTTCAAATTTTTTTCCTGACATCTGCAATAATCTTCTCACAGTACTGATTTTCTATTTTTAAAAATGTTAAGAGTGGTAGCTTCTACTATTTTGAACTAATTATTGACGTTTTTGCACTAACATTTGCGCATTGTTGGTGGATATTCTGTATTTTTTAAACATTATTTGATTTTTGTACTATTTTTCTGCAGTTTGTTAGATGCTTTGTACCATTTAGCGTTTGGTGCTGGAATGTTTGTACCCTATCTATTATTTGCTGGAGTTTTTTTACTATTTATCTATTACTTGGTGAAATTTGGTGACATAAATCCGTTTGTGCTGAGTTACTTTTATGCAGCATAGGATTTTAATTAAGAGCAAAAAAAAATATTACAATACCATATCAAAATTAAAAAGAAAATCAAAAAACAAAATTCTTACGTTTGGTACTTATATCTGAAAATAACAGAAAATTATTACTTTAGGATAAATCCAGTCTTAAAAAACATCTTATGGATGACAGCGTTTCCGTTTTTTTATTCTTCTTTTTCCTCGAAAATTTTTGTATTTAAACTATACAATAATGAAATATTGTATAAATCCTTTCACATTTCATTCCTGACTTAAATCATTAGATTTCAAAATATTTTTACAATTTTTATATATAAGTAGTTTAAACATTTGGTTAAGACAGTCATTTGAATTGAATTTGAGATACTGATGAAAATTGATGCATTCCCGGAATACATTCAAGATTTTGGCAAAAATATGGAAACAATTCTATACTTACTCTATTTAAACAATTTTCTTTTAGCAGAAAATGTTTGTAAAGATTTTCATAGCAAAACAGTTGAATAGAACTTGAAAAATCATGCTTTAGAAATTTTTGCTTAGTGTCTATGCAAATTTTCCATGGTTAAAGACACATCATTTCACAAAGCTTCAAGCATAGTCTATCGAAGTGTGCCAATAGTTTTGTTATATAAAATATTTCAAATCATTTTCTGCTAAAGGATAAATGATTTATTTAGAGATAGTATAGAAACGTTTCCATATTTTTGCCCAATTCTTATGTTTGCAAGTAATGAATTTTTATCTAGAGACTATGAATTACAATTACAATGCATAGCTTCTAATTCCTTCGGAAGGTTTATTTTACATATATTCAAACTTGAAGAAAAGCTTACGCTTTTCTATCTTATTTTTGGATTTGTAAATTTAATTTTGAATAATTTTAACCCCCACTACAGATAAATATAAATGCCCACTACAGATGTATAAATGCTTGATTATTGAATTATGGTGTGAGGTAATTTGTCTTCTTTTTCGATGTATTACTGAATAATTAACAAATAATTAACAATTAATTGATTCGTTCACTTCGTACTAATAATGTCTCTTTTGCGCAGGACCAGTGTGAATTTATATATTTAATAAATTAAACATTTAAGTAACTAAAAAATTTTTAAAACTGTTCTCGATGATATTCGATTCTCAAAAATTCCTTAACGATGTCGATTATCAGTCGGGTTGGCGAACAACAGCATTAAGTTTTTTTTTTATTATTAAAAAAAATCTTGTTAGTTTAAAACAACCAGGTAAAAATCTATTAGCAACTGATAATAATAATTTTTATGAATTATCGGTGAATTAGCAGTGAATAATAATAATTTTTATGAATTATCATTCAACGTCACAAAACAACTAAGCATTGAAGAAACAACAATGCTAAACATTGTATAATTGCAGCAAATTTAAATGCTCTAGATTCGAGGATACTTCTCAAATGTTCTACGTGCCATAGCATATTGTTATGTGGGTTTCCTTTCACGATACAAAATATTAATTCACGAAAAATTATTTATTATGATTTATTCTAATAATATTTTAATTGTAGTAAACGAAAATTAAATTAATTGTTTCTGTTTAAATATGTCTTCAACTGCCATATTATAAGAAAGAGAAGCTGTGTAATATTTTTCTAACCGATATTCGACATATTTTTTCTAGCACTACTTGATTCATGAGTTCCGTTATCTTCTGGACTAGGCTCAAAATTACAAGGCTATGCAATTGAACATTGGTAATCGTAAACCCAAGATTGAGTCGACTGTTCAACGGTGGTTAAAAAATAAAATAGAAACACTTTATAAACGATTGAGTAAAACCAAACTTACCATCTACAGCTTTTCTCACTAGAGTGGAAAGAGATTTGCATGAAACAATCATGTTAACATTAATTATGCATACAGATCACTAATACCGGAGGACAATACAACTTGCCTATATTTTAGAAATTAAAATTTCGATCCGATCTATATTTTTAAACTAATATTATTCAATATGAAAACTTTGTTGTACCTTTAAAAAAAAGGTTTTCTTCTTTATTTAGTTCAATATTGTATTATAATATATTATAAATATAATAGTATTTGCATACAATTTCATAACATAAGATGCAAAATACAAACTGCTACATTTTGAAATAATTCCAAAAATATGCTATCAACTTTTGAATTTTCCGAGCTTTAAGATAAAATTTGTATGAAATATTGTTGAAATATTCTTTTTTCAGATTGGAATTTGAATTAAATAGTTTTTATTACATTAAAAACAATTTAAAAATGGATTATTTTGTTTTTCCAAAATTTATTTAATAAGTAAATAACTTTCGGAAATAAAGCTGAAACTTCCGAATTAAAAAATAAAATTTAAATTTTTTCAAATCATAATTCTCCATCGTTACAAAATTTATATATAAATTATATTATAAAATTACACTATAAAATATTTCTTTCGAATTATATTCTTATAAAAATTGCTTTTATAACAGTTGAACGAAAAAAAACATCACTAATGATAAATTTAAACTTTTAACCCTTTCCGGTCGCCAGTCTGGCAATAATAAGCAGACAAATGTTACAAATTACTAGAAATGTAAGACTAATTATATTCAAACGCTTAGCAACCTCTATTCTTTAAACAACTTATAAGAGTATGTGTCACTTCAATTAGAATGCAGTGTTCAAAGTCGCATTTGCTAATATTCTTCTTGATTAAACATTTCAATGAAAATTCGTTATTCCGGAAAGGGTTAAGCATTAACAAAAACATCCGAACTCCTAACTCTATATAAAGCAATGGACAACGCACTATTCAATTTTAAACTATCGATAATGGAATTTACATATTTCCTTGATTACTATTGTTTGAAAAGTTCGGATGCTTTGAACTCAAGCATTTTATTAAAATATTTCATTCTTTAATGACCTGAATTTCAAACACTTTAATGACTTACCTTCTTCTAATGGATCAGTTGCATTTGCTGTAAAAAATGAATAAATAAAATTAATATCATCATAATGAAATTTCAAATGTAATAATCATTTGCATTCAAATGTGAAATATCAAAGGATGTTAAGGTAAACATACTTTAAGAAAGCGAGCAGTTCAGTTATAAAATATGAATTGCAATATTATAAAGATAAACTAAAAAGTAAATATTAATATTCAACCACTCTAATGAATAAACCTGAAAACTTCATGTTTTTGGATAATAATAAATTAATATCACATGTTTTTAACCCAGATATTTTCTTTTACTTTTCTTTTTATCAATACGCACGTAACGATAACCACAAGCTTCTTTCTTCAAATCGTTGGATTGATCTAAAACTTAGGCTTCAACAAATCAGAGAGCACAACAAGGTACTAAAATCGGACACTGGACACTCTTCTTTTACGTCATGTAATAACTTTAACTTAATTCTGAATCTTGATTCATAAATAGTATAGATTAGTTTTTTTTTCTTCAAGGTTTTATTTGTTTTGAACTTATCTCAATTTACTTCACATTAAGCTTATTTTCTTCGACTTCGTTCCAACCCTTGCGCAAAAAACACTATCCTTTATTGCTTGTTAGTAAATTCCTCCAACTAGTACAGAACCCGTTATCCGGAAATCAGAAAACCGGAAAACCAAAAAACCGGAACGAAATTCGATAAATTTTCCCGCCATTTTTTGAAAAAAATGTTTTTTTCCTCATAAGATTTTATGATTTTTCTTTCTTTTTTTAAAGATGTTTACCTTACCATCATTTTGGAAATAATTATTAGTGTATTACTTCATCGTTTTTTCTTCTTTTTAAGATTATTTCCAAATATTTTTTTAGTTGGGTTTAACAATAAAAAAACGGCTTTTTGTAGCGATTCAGAAAACCGGAAAAATCAGTTATCCGGAATAGCGATGGTCCCGATCGTTCCGGATAATCGGTTCCCTACTGTATTTTTTTATGATAGTGTAACTTTGTTTCTTTAATACACTTAAGAAAAAGTTTTGCTTGAAAATGGGCCACGTTGTATACGTCATTTAAAACAGGTTCTTTAAGTTCTGTACATAATCCGATTGATTTAAAACCCCAATTGAATCATATACAGTGCGCAGTAAAACATAGCTCCTTACATTTGGAATTGGTTCTTTATGTAATCCGATTGCTTTGAACCCACTAAAACACAATATGCAGGGTGTCCGGAAAATATTGAGAAGGTCCAGTGTTTCAAGAAAAATGCTTTGGATCAAAAAATAAAAATACTGGAGTGAAGTATTTTCTAAGAATGCTTTCATTAAAACCAAATTCGAACTTTCAACTTGGGAGACATCCCACGATAACCCCTATCGTAGGATGTCTCCCAAGTTTAAAGTTCGAATTTGGTTTTAATGAAAGCATTCTTAGAAAATACTTCCGTAGGGCCGAGTTTGCTCTTATAAGGTTTACAAAATTTCAAACACGCAGAGCTGTTTACCCTAAAGCTCTAGCTCTCCATATTACTTAAGAGGCCTCAACTCTCGCCATCTTGGATTTTAGGAAAACATTTTGATTGGAGATTTCTTGATATTTTTGTATTTAACTTTTGATGATATAATATTATTCGGTAGCATAATACCTTTTACAAATGTAGAAAATGAAGGGATTGCTCTATTAGATTAGGAGAAATAACACTTGATAAATTTTGGTACTAACAATGATTTTTTCTTATAACTTTGAAGTAAAGAAATTATACGACTTACGTTTTCAAGTCAGTAATTTAAAACTATACATATGTCACTATTTAAACTTTTTAAATGTTTCGATTTATCACAGTGTAAACGGATGAAAACGCAATTTGATATTGCTAAAGAATTATTTTCACATTAAATGCAGAAAAACAAAGCAACTTGTCAAAAATCTATATGCAACTGTTTACTATTTAGCCACATTATTTATATGCCACAGTAAAATTTGGCGAGTATATTATCGAAAGATGCTACCGCGTATAGTAAATAGTCGCTAATATTAAGAAAAAACCGTAAAAAGCATGTTTAGAAATTTCCGTCATCGTCTCCACACCTTCCACAGTTGAGTTTGATCGAGAAGAGAGAGTCCTCTTAAAGTGATAATTAAATAATCAAAAGTTATTACACTTTTGCCATCAACTAAAGACAATACTGATTGCTTTTTTGAACGTTTTATTCATATTTATACATTGTAGTAATCAAAATCTTTTTAAGTCATATGTTGGGACAGAAATTCTGCTACAACTTTAAATATTCGGGAGGAAAATTTTCGACCAAAGACAGGATGAGTTGGCAGGTCTGAACAAGGCCTAAACACGGTCTGAACCCGGCCTGTTGGCAAGAAACATTTAAATACTTATGATCGGCATATAACTCGCGAGTTAGCTTCTTTTTCAACTGCACTTCCTTTTTCTTGCAATTATAGTGCCATCTATTATCTGAAATGTAAACAATTGTTCAAGTTACCTCCACCCCACAGCATATCGTGATGAGGTTTGAGAATTGTGTCTGAGATTTCAAAGCTTTTTCGCTGAGGAAAATAAAAAAATTAGTCGCAGGTTAAGTAGCTTACCCTTGAAGTAAAGCTATAATTTTAAACTATATATATGATCTTGGCGTCAAGAATTATCTGGGCTTCAGAACAGAAAAATGACTTAAAAGTTATTAAACTTTTTTTTTAAAAAAAATCACCAATTTGGCGATATTTTCCACCTAGATTAAAATCGCAAATTTTTTGCGAACCCAAATAATGCAGCATTGGAGTAAATTTTTAAGTATTGAAATTTCAGACCACAAACGCATTTTATTTTCATAAAACTGCTGCTTTTCATCATATTGACGTTGTGCGCCCTTTTCGGAAAAAGCATAGAAAGCGCTGGCTATCGATTGGCTAAACTTAACCTAATAGTCGTTGCAAACTTACAGCAGTTATGGAAATAGCATATTATTTGCAAAAAAAGAATCATTTCATATAACGACGGATCACTCGAATAATAGCCTTAAGCCTGATTTGCATTTCCTGAGATATTTGACCATTTACACAATTTTCTGCGACCCTGAAGAGTCTGCAGAAGTCGGAAATTTCAACACTTTAAAAATAAAAAAATTAAATATGACATTCAAAGCCTGCAAAACAGCTAAATATGTAACGTTATAAGACATTTAACAAATGATATTACCTAAGAAAATGGCAGCAGCAATGGTAATTAAAAATATGGCTCGGCTGGAAGTCATTTTGGATTTATCAGCAAATGGATGTATCTCTATTACTGAATGAGTTGTTACTGGAAAAATCGTTGTATTCCATTCAATTTATAGTGTTTCAGATTTCCTTGTCTTCAGTAAACACAATTAAGTCATAAAATTATTTATTAACTCCTGAAATATCTTAAAGCCGTAAAGTTGGTCGTAAATATATAATAGTCGTATACCCAGAGTAGCAGTGAATAAGATGAAAAAAAATATATTATAACAGATTGTTATTAATGATAAGTAGAGGCAGTTAAAGAAATTGCATAATCCCTTTGAATTTTGAAGCTAAAAAATAAATGATAGCTGTAAATCACACTTTAAACAATCGAAATAAGATCTAACAATATATTTATTACAATTATGTTCAATAATTTAAAACCATGAAACTACTGAATAAATTTAACAAAAATGACTAAATACACTGTTAATAAAGTTTAAGACCACTAGTGGGGGCCGGATATTCTGGTTGGTAGAACATTGGGTCCATGTTCAAGTTGTCGTGAGCTCGATTCCCTCAGACTGGAGTGTAGAATTTGTTGCAGGTGCACGTTAAATCTGTTGGATCACGAAGTCCTCCTTGTTCTCATAACAAACCATACCTCTGGGGGTACTGAATTGAAGATTGGTCGTTCTCTAGTTCAGGTCAAAATTGCGATATGTGGAAGAATAAGTTGAGGTATGAATGGGTCCTCCGTATAAACAGACAGTGGCTAAAGTCGTATTTTTGTCCACAGAGGGCGACAACAAGAACAAGAAACGCAGCTCTACTTTAAATTGACTTGTTTCACCAAGCAGGCTTGCTGGTATTGGCAAGTCGTATTAAACAAAGACAAGACCACTAGCCAAAAAAACAACGAAAATATAAAAATGAATATGATATGCACCCAATTTTCTTATTACTTCAAACAGTCTGTTTTCTATAAAAATGGTGTTATGGGTAAGTATAATTTTGGTGTAATTGTTTTATTCTTGTGGGACAGCTAACTGAGGGCCACTATTTCTTAACATCATAAGCCTTATGGCATAATACAAAGTTTAATCAAAATGATGGAAACACTTCTATGCTAATTCTATGTAAACAATCTTTCTTTCAACTGCAAGTGCTTTTTAAGAATTTGCGTGACAAAACAGCCGGTTCCTTTGCTTGTAGCTTTTGAAAGGATGGCATTTTAACCTATGTAAAATTTGTATAGACCAAGATGAGAAAAGGGAGTTGGCTCGTTGCGGAGCAAAAAATTTCAATCAAGAAATTTTAAGTCAAGGAAAAATTTAAGTCAAGGAAATGCAAGAAAATTGTTGTCATCACGTGCACAGTCATTACCTCCTACAATAAGAAGCCTCCACACGGTCTTTTATAAGTAGTCCGCGCAGACTATTTAAAAAGTGAACCAGTTGTGCGCGTGAACCCAAAACCTTTTATAAGAGTAATTGAGAGAAATTTATCATATATATTTGAGAATTGAATCTGTAGTGGTTGACTAGTGAATAAGGTAAACCGATTATATTCATAAATAAAACAAATTTTTAGTCATATATTTGCTACCACTTTCTTATTTTAACTAGATTTTGTATTAAGTTCAGGAAGTGGATATCTTCATTGTGGTCTGATCGGATTACCTATAAAAAACCGTGTGGAGGCTTTCAATTACAGGAGACGTTGGTACAGTGCTCCAAAACAAATAAAAGGACCACCTTGAATATCTTTTTATCTAATTATTTATTACTGCAGTCGATCTTTTAAAGTTACGAAATCAGATACAAGACCATACTTTATCTGAATAAACATAACTTTTTTTACGTAGATTTGGATTTCTCATCCCAAAAATATGGGGGGGGGTAGCCACAATCTGGATCCCAATAGTTTGGTCAGGAGAGCGATCCAAAGTTTGGATCCCATAATGTTAATTTTATTTTTGGCTTGTTTCACCACATTTTGAAAACTTTTTAAGTGAATTGAAAAAAATTTTCACACAGTTGTAAAATTCGTTTATTCAAAGATAATTCGATGCGAAAAATAAATTTTAGTAGAAATTTATTATTTTTTTTATTCAGTATTATTTAATTTAATAATAGTCAAAAATATTTTGAGTTGTAAGGTATACAATTTTTATATCATTTTAAGATATGTAATTTTGCACAGCAAAACATAAAATTCGGGTGAAATTGGTTGAATACATATTACGAAATCTAATTTTATTGAAAGGAGCATGTTGATCTGTGTTTTTTTTTTTCTTTTCTTTTTGCCCACTTTGCATCTCTTAAAATAAAAAGTGGATGACTAAAGACAACGTTGTTAAATAGTTAGAACTATTATAATTTTACTGAGTTATATTGTCAGAAAAAAAGTTATATATACTGTTTTCTGCCTATGGCCAATGAAAGAGTTAAAACATATTTTTGGCCTCAATACCGGTGAATTAGATTTTATTTTAAACTATTGAGATAGTTACATAAGATTACTTTTTTATTTAAAGCGGCATTAAAAAAGGAAATCAGCTTTTAACGTCCTACACTCTATTTAGTCTATGCAAACACTTCGGCAGGTAGAAGAGGACACCATTTCTAAAAACTTCAAAAATGATGTTTCAAGTTGAGCCAACAGATTAGACAGTTAAAATCTTACAAAACATTTCCTTGCTAAATAAAAATAGTTTACTTAGAATTAGTATAGAAGTACCTCTTTTATTTTGATTAACTCCTGTATACCTTAAGGGTTTTCCATGAAGCTCATGTAGCGACTTCGACTTATCTATGGCATTTTTGATGCATAGCAAGAAGTATTTTTGTGGAGATATATCAGGATGGGACCACCTAATACGAGACGAAATTGTATTGGATTACTGGTGTACGGGCCAAAATATTTCATTTATAGCTGTTTTTCCAGAGGCGTAAAACTATTCTCAACTATAAGGTATTTATTACTATTTACTTACACTAAGACAAAAAAGCAGTCATACACACAAATATATAT